GGATATAGTACCCAGATCTAAGCCGGTCTTGCTAATTGAATCTCAGTAGCTTAACTGTCAAGTTATTTAAGTTTTGTTTCTCAGTCTTGTGTTGTTTAAAACATAGTAAAGCTGCACTCATGCATGGAAAGGTCCTTGGATTGCTTTGATTCTACTAAGTTGAATCGTCGGATCAGAAGCCTTAGAAGAAGTCCGGGTTCGATCAGAAATTGACAGGAATGTGTGCAATGCCTATCCAGATGCCTTAATCTAGCAAGTTCCCGGTTTTCCCCTAAATTAACATTGTGGTTTTATGCTCATTCAAGCTGTGATTCTTTAACAAAGAACAGTAATACTTGAAGAATTCTTCCTCTTGGAAGAACTCCAAGTGAACATGGAGTCCTTCCTGGCCAGCACTGTTCATTAACTCACTTACTGGGCGTGTGCTTAGGGCTGCCCTACTCCATAGGAGCACTGTGCTTTGAAGACAGGTGGGGAACAGAGAGAGCCTCACTCTCACAGGGAAAAGGTAATTCTTGGAAGAGATGCAGAAAAGAAGGGAACATCCCTAAAAACAGGCTCCGATGGAGGCCAAGGTAACAGCCTTTGGGCTCTCCTGAGCCACACTGGATACCTGAGCTACCTGTGACCTCTATTCTGATTGGTTCAGGTGGGCTAGCCTGCCTCCTTCCCATCAGAAGTGGGAGTAACAGGTGACTTGCCATCAAAATGTGTTTGACAGGCGACACTGCCCTCCCCGGCTTGGTGACAGTGGCCGTCATCAGCTTCTGTTCCTAGCAGTTTCCTCGGAGTCCGTAGGCCTTGGAACAGGGCCGTGAGTATGCCTCATTCTACAAAGAGGGACAAAGGGGATCATCAAGCCCTGGAGGAAATTCTGCAGCATCAGGAGGAAAGATTTGGATAAACAGGAGTGGGAACAGTAAGGCCAGTGAAAGGGGAGTTTATCAGACATAGTTAAAGAAGCAGAACGAGACCATGCATGGTAGGTACCTACTCTTTTCAAGTCCAGGATTCAACTAGGGAACAAGTCGGTCTTTGGGAATTCAAATAGGAATGTTTCAAGGAATGTGTAAATAATTTAACACTAAGGTTCAAAGTCACGGCTGAGGGGACATCCAACATTCAGAGCACAAAACTAGAGACTGGGAGACCCTGAAGAAACAGAAAGGACTTGATACTTAATGAGCTCAAGTCACAGACCGAGAGACCAGAGGGAACTTCTAATCAATAAATGATCAAAGATGATCAAGTAAGAAATAGCAAATTTTATCCAGATCCAAACGACACTGGAATCTTCCACTTGAAAAGGATGTGCAGGGGTGAAGGACACGTGGAGGTGTGCACACCTGGGTGCACGTGGCATGGTGTGGTGTGTCACTCGGGAGCCCAGCAAACACTGAGGGTCTAGCAGGCGTCAGGCATCTCGTTAGAGAGAAAACTGTGCAGAAGTCCCCCAAGAACTGGTTGGAAAATTTCTTTAATCTAGCACCTGTACCCAGAAAATGCTCCATTGTTCCAAGAGCAAAATGGATTTCCTTTCAACTAAAACAAACAAACAAACAACAAACAAAACCCTAAAAAACCAAAATCAAAAATGAAAACAGAACCCAGAAAAAAAGACCTTTACAAATCTACTGGAGGAAGTTTGAATTTGCACTCTGTGGTAGTTTGAATGTGAATGAATGCTCCTTACATAGGCTCGAATATGTGAATGTTTGGTCTCGTTGCTGACACTGTTTGGGGAGGGTTAGGGGGTGCAGCCTTATTGGAGGAAGCGTGTCGCCAGGGTGGGCTCCATCCCATCTAATTCACTCTCTCTGCTTCGAGTCTGTGATTAAAGATGTGAGCTCTCAGCTTCCTGCTCTGACTGCCTCCTGCCATGCCTCCCTGCCACTATGGACTCAGCCCTCTGGAACCCTAGGCCCAAATAAACTCTTCCTTCTATAAGTTGTCTTTGGTCATGGTGTTTTGTTATAGCAACAGAAAAGTAACTAACACACGCTTCAATAACACAAATCGGTTGCCTGTGCTGCACTCCCTCAGCTCATGTACAGTTTCACACCCACCACCCCTGCTTGGGCCTGAAGGACAAATACTTCCCCTTGTTGGGTGATCTCTAACACTTTGTCTCAGTTTCCCCGTCTGAGGATGGAATACCAACGATGGACTCTAAGGCTGTTGTCCTCGCTTCCCTGCTGGGGCTGTGATAAAACACCCTGGCCGAAAGCAACTCAAGAGGAAAAGGGTTTATTGACACTCAGACTTGAGGTAGCAGGAACCTGGAGGAGCTGGCCACGTCCACAGTCAAGAGCAGAGAGAGAGAGAGAAAGAGAGAGAGAGGGAGAGGGAGAGGGAGAGCAGAGAGAGGGAGGGAGAGAGGGAGGGAGAGAGAGAGGGAGGGAGAGAGAGGGAGAGAGAGAGGGAGAGAGAGAGGGAGAGAGAGAGGGAGAGAGAGAGGGAGAGAGAGAGGGAGAGAGAGAGGGAGAGAGAGAGGGAGAGA